GGGGGGCCCCCCCCCCCCCCCCCGGTAAAAAAAAAGTCACCTACGCCCTTGACCCTAATAATATTTCCAACCAGGATTCTGGCATTTATTTCACTCGGACAAGAAAAAAATAGATTAGGGCCACACACACAGGCACGCGCGCGCGCACACACAAACATACACACACGCGTACGCGCGCGCGCACACACACACACACAGGGGTGGATTAGGCTTTGTCCCCACGGTTGGTGGTAATAATATGTTTGAATAGGATTTGTCCTGTGTGTGATATATCGATCGCAAAAAGACATTTTGATTGGCTTTGTAGCTCACTATGGGTCAGACGCTACCGAGGTAAACCTAGAGGCACAGATAAGAAGAATCAAGCATGACATAGGGGGGGGGGATACTTTTGGCCTTTGCTCAACCGCATCGTCTGATCTTCGTGTTTTTTTGTTGTCGTTTTTTTAAAGATAAATTTCTATGAAGTTTTTGAAAACTAAAAAATGATCTCACATATTTTTTGTTTTGGTATTATTGTGTATCTCAGTGTTAGCCATATTTAGTTTTATACTTTTCTTTTGAGTTGATGCTTTTGTCTATACAAATATTTTTGGCGACGAGGTCCATTTAGAGCCCTCGGTAGTGACACTTGATATTTAAATTATTTATAGCACACGGCACTCCTTTTAGTAATGACCACAGTAAGATGGCCCTTGGCTGGTCCCCCTTCTCTGTCTCTCTCTATCTCTCTCTCTTTATCTCTCTCCCTCTCTCATGGAATAAAGAAATCAATAACTATGTCGTGATGGGTTGCTCTCTCTATATGCCAACACAGCCGTAGATAACACATGCGCTCCTCTAGTTGTATAAAATGACCGTGTATATTTACCACCACAAAAATACCAATAATAGGGCATGCTGTACAAAATTCATTTGTTTGAAATTATGACCATGTTATGAACAGTACTGTGATGCCATACCCTTCCACTTTTAATGAGATTTAGCGTGAAAACAAATGACATTTTGAAATAGCGGATTACCAGGATAATAATGTTTAAATGATACAAAGTCCATGAAGTAGGGCATTCTATTTTTTTGACAATTTTATCCTCGCCCCCCCCCCTCCCCCCCCCCCCGCCCCCGGGTCATAAATCACAGCCCCTACCCCCCCCCCCTTCCAAGTACGCCACATTTCAAACTAAAATTTAAAAAAAAAATTAAAAACGAATTAAAATTAAATAAAAAGCAAAGCTCACTATTAAACTATTAATTTTATAAAAATGTACATCTGTCAGGCAACTTCCAACAAAATAGAAAGTACGAAATCACTGTGAATTTTAGGTTTATATTTATGACATAAAAATAAATTAATTAAAAGTTCATGACGTCACACAAGAACTTTTACCCCCCTCCCCGCCGTCTTGAGTGTGACTTACCATTATGGACACCCCTTAACTTCCTACTAGACCAGGGGTCGGGAACCTTTATGTCTGAGAGAGCCATAGACACCCCATATTTTGAAAAGTAATTCTGTGAGAGCCATACATTATGTTTAAAACGAAAAATTCAAGTAAATGTGTGCATCTTGTGTAATTTCAAGACTAAAAGTGCAATAATTATGTCTCTGAATTCCTTTTAATGACATTGTTCTGCTGTTGGTAATCAATGATGAGTATTTCTTACCAATAATACGACTTTTTTTTTTTTATAATCGAACATTTGTCTGCGAGCCAGATGCAGCCATCAATAGAGCCACATCTGGCTCGCGAGCCATAGGTTCCCGACTACTGTACTAGACGTATATTCGTAATTTCTGTTCAATACAAAAGAGTAGGTTATATTACTCACACCACACACACGACAACTTCAAAACTGATTTCTTTTACATGACACAAATATATTCAAATTTCGTTACCGTTTAATTGGCCATTATATTTTAATGTACTGTAAAGTCATTATATTTTAGTGTACCGTAAAATCATTGTTTATTGATGTACTGTAAAGTATTTATATTTTGATGTACTGTAGTCATTATATTTTTATTTACTTTAAAGTC